AGTGGGAACAGACTGTTCATATTAGTTGATGGTGGTTTTGTGCATTTGAATAATTCTAATTCTTTTGTACCCAAACTAGAGAGGGTGTGAGCAGGTGGTTCAGTCATGCTGACCTCCATCTATTCAGTTCAGTCGCTCATTTGTGTCTGACTCTTTGCGCCCCCATGAATCTCAGCACGGCAGGACTCCCTGTCCATCAGCAACTCCCGGAGTCCACCCAAATCCATGTCCATCAAGTCGGCGATGCCATCCAGCCATCTCATCCTCTGTAGTCCCATTCTCCTGCCCCCAATCCTTCCCAGCATTAGGGTCTTTTCCAGTGAGTCAACTCTTCACACGAGGTGGCCAAAGTATTGGAGTTTCAGCTTCAACATCAGTCCTTCCAATGAACACCCAGGACTGATCTCCAAGAGAAGCGAAAAGCAAAGGAGAAAAGGAAAGATATTCCCATCTGAATGCAGAGTTCCAAAGAATAGCAAGGAGAGATAAAAAAGCCTTCCTCAGTGATCAGTGCAAAGAAATAGAGGAAAACAACAGAATGGGAAAGACTAGAGATCTCTTCAAGAAAATTAGAGATACCAAGGGAACACTTCATGCAAAGATGAGCTCGATAATGGACAGAAATGGTATGGACCTAACAGAAGCAGAAGATATTAAGAAGAGGTGGCAAAAATACACAGAAGAACTGTACAGAAAAGATCTTCACGACTCAGATACTCACGATAGTGTGATCACTCACCTAGAGCCGGACATCTTGGAGTGTGAGGTCAAGTGGGCCTTCGAAAGCATCACTATGAACAAATCTAGTGGAGGTGATGGAATTCCAGTTGAGCTATTTCAAATCCTAAAAGATGATGCTGTGAAAGCACTGCACTCAATATGCCAGCAAATTTGAAAAACTCAGCAGTGGCCACAGGACTGGAAAAGGTCAGTTTTCATTCCAATCCCAAAGAAAGGCAATACCAAAGGACGCTTGAACTACCACACAATTGCACTCATCTCACACACTAGTAAAGTATTGCTCAAAATTCTCCAAGCCAGGCTTTAGCGATACGTGAACCATGAACTTCCAGATGTTCAAGCTGGTTTTAGAAAAGGCAGAGGAACCAGAGATCAAATTGCCAACATCTGCTGGATCATCGAAAAAAACAAGAGAGTTCCAGGAAAATATCTACTTCTGCTTTATTGACTATGCCAAAGCCTTTGACTGTGTGGATCACAATAAACTGTGGAAAATTCTTAAAGAGATGGGAATATCAGACCATCTTACCTGTCTCTTGAGAAACCTGTATGCAGGTCAGGAAGCAACAGTTAGAACTGGACCTGGAACAACAGACTGATTCCAAATAGGAAAAGGACCTCCATCTATTGCAGGAGTTCTATCACAGTTGAAGGTTTTACATTAAGAAGAGACTGATTTGGAAGTATAAAAAATGTGGGCACTAGCCCTCTACTACAACCCACACTCTTGTCTGTGGAGTATGTTTTTCCCAAGGCCAGTCTTGCCTTATGAGATGTCTTACAATCTGTCTGTGGAGTATGTTCTCTCTAAATAAATCCACTTCTTACTTTAAAAAAAAAAAAAGGCAGTGAAAGGGTTGAAAAAACAGATATAAGAACTAATCTGAAAAATCTTCTACAGACTGACTTTCATTTATGGATACAGGGATAATTTGTACCATAGTGATAAGCCAAAGAATTGATGCTTTTGAACTGTGATATAGGAAAAGACTCCTGAGAGTCCCTTGAACTACAAGGAGATCCAACCAGTCCATCTAAAGGAGATCAGTCCTGGATGTTCATTGGAAGGACTGATGCTGAAGCTGAAACTCCAATACTTTGGCTACCTGATTCGAAGAGCTGACTCATTGGAAAAGACCCTGATGCTGGGAAAGATTGAGTGCAGGAGGAGAAGGGAATGATAGAAGATGAGATGGTTGAATGGCATCACCAACTCAATAGACATGGGTTTGGGTGGACTGCGGGAGTTGGTGATGGACAGGGAGGCCTGGCGTGCTGCGGTTCATGGGGTCGCAAAGAGTCGGACACGACTGAGCGACTGAACTGAACTGATAAGTATTTAAAAGTTCAAATATCTGCATGGCCTTTATCTGATTATTGGGGAATGGAAAATTTGGAGAGAATGCCTGAAAAGAGTAATTGGAGTTGACATGGCTTAAGTGTGTTTATGCCAGGCGCTGTGCTCAGTGGTTTTCCTTGTTCTCCTGTTAAATACCCTGAGCAGTCAGTCTTGAGTTACTGCTGTTTATTTTACAAATGAAGGAATCAAGACTTAGGAATTATTAGTAAATGATACTTGTACTCACAAGGGCAGAGGTAATCAACTATGTGGGAGGTTGTGAAAGTTTTCATGGAAAAGCATTGGCATTTAATCTGGAACAGTGTTAATAGTGGCTCTGTGGCATGGCATGAGTTGGTCTTTTTGGAAATTGTTTGTGTTTTTATGGTTTGGTAGTGTGGTGTGCTGTCAGGGCTGCTGGAAGATGTTGTCAGAAGCCAAATATTAAAGGGGGTCTTTTGTATGTCTAGCAAAGAAGTTTTATTTATTTTTATAGCGTGTACAGTATGGAATTTTTGTACAGATTTGGTCAGTGGAGCAGTATCTCATTTTGAACAGTTTATGTTTTCCCCTTATTTTTAATGTTTTAGTCTGTTAGCACTCTCAGATCTTGAACTTAATTTTGGAGCTAAAATGTACCCCAGAGAGAGATCTTCCCATCATACTAAAAAATATTTCTGCTGAAACTATTAGAATCCAATAATATCACAGTAATTTACCTGCCTACTGTTTAGCAGTGTTTGAATATGGAGTCAGACTCTATCTGTGGAGTGTGTTTCTCAAAATATCATAATGTAAATACTTTCTTTTTAAAGCCTGCTTATAGATAATAGGTTTTTCCTTATAGCCAAAAAGTGTCCAGCTGTCTCTTAAGTAGCCCCCAACATGCTGCTTGTGGAAGCTCCGCTTTTCTAGCCATCCTTGTTATTTTGTTAATGTAAGACGTTGTTTAGTCTCTCTATCGTGTCCAACTCTTGTGGTGAATGTCTGGCTGGCTTCTCTGTGCATGGGATTTCCCAGGCAAGAATACTGGAGTGGGTTGCCATTTCCTTCTGCAGCGGATCTTGCCGACCCAGGGATTGAACCTATGTCTCCTGCGTTGGCAGGTGGATTCTTTACTGCTGAGCCACCAGGGAAGCCATTGTAAGACTGTAGGTTGACTCTATTATGGCAAACACTATAAAATTTATACTTTTTTTTGAATAGTAATGAATTCAAATGGTATGAAATAATATGTGATAAAAAAATCTTTTTACCCTTGCCTACTTAGTTCTGTTCTCTAGAGACAACCAAAATTATGAATTTCTTTATACTCTTCCAGAGATATTCTGTGCTTATACAGCCAAATATGTTTTACCTGTACCCTTTACTTTTTTACAAATGTCACATTGTTCGGTACCTTGATATTGTTCAGTTAACAAAAGCATTTTGGAGATTGTTCCATATCTATACATAAAGAGCTTTTTCAATCACTTTTTTAATAGCTAACTAATATTCTGTGGTTTAAACATAGCATATTTAATTAGTTTCTCATTTGATGGCTCTTTATTTTCACTTTTGCTATTATAAGCAAGATGGTCAGGAAACACCTTATTGTATGTTACTTTGTACATTGTGAATATCCCAATAGGATCAGTTTCTAGAAGTGCAGTTTCTTATGAGAAGCTTGTGTACTCAGTTACTCAGTTGTGTCCAACTCTTTGTGACCCCATAGACTCTAGCCCTCTAGACTCCTCTGTCCATGGCATTTTCCAGGCAGGAATACTGGAGTGGGTTGCCATTTCCTCCTCCAGGGGATCTTCCTGACCCACTCCTGCATTGGGAGGCAAATTCTTTACCACTGAGCCACCTGGGAAGAAACAGGGGACACAGACCCTAAAGCCCCATAGACTCCTTCTCAGTTTTAATGACTTGTAGCCAGGTAGCCAGTTGCCTAGCTTTATAAAAAGATTGTAGCTGCCAGCAGATACTGTTTTGATAATGTCCAGTGGCATCCAAGCCTGACGCATCTCAGAAAATTCAGCTTGTTAGCAATGCAAAGTCTGAAATTATACCCATTGTGTCACCTCATTATTTCCTTGGATGTCTGAACCATACTCACTCTGTTTTGACTTTTAATATTTTTCTTATTAGCCAAAGCAGATATCATCTTTAACAATGTTAGTGTTTCTCTGTGTATGAGAAGATGCAGGAATTGGGACTCATAAAATCTTTTCCTGGCGATATCCAACTCTGAAGGCCTGTTCTGCCAGTTTTTCCAGAGCACAGAGTGCGTGATTCCTGATCTCCACCCTAATCTCCTTTCAGTGGTGTTGAAGGTCAGCAGCTGCAGTGGCCATGATTTAATCTTTGTAGAGGTAGATGGCAGTTGCCAGTTTCCAGTTGGCAGGGTCCCTTCGGGTCATAGATTGGACCATGGTTTGAGGGTGCCGTTTGGTCCTGTTGTGCTGAGACTGCTCATTCCCAGGTCTGGCAGGGATGTTGCTTATAGGCCACTCCGTGTGCTCTGCTGGACTAGGTCATAGAACAGTATCCAAAATTCTCTGAACCACCTGTATTACTAGCCTCTCGATCCAGGAAAATAGTCCCTCTTGTTGCTTCTTCCCATATCTAGAGTTACACTGTTAAAATCATTGATCTTATATGGAACTATATATTATTTTATCAGAGGCTTAATCACCCATTTGGTAATACAAGAGACAACAGTTTTATAAAACAGTTGAAATACAAATAATAAATAAAAGCTATGGGTACTTAACAATTTCGAAAGTAGAAATGTTTAAATGAATTGAAGCTATGGGATTTTTTATAGTATTTATCCAGAATGGACTCTTACTTTATAACAAGTAGAAATCTAAGAATTAATTCATAATTGCCAAGATATTAGTGAAATACTTATAAAATTCTTTTTGTTTTTCAGGTATACAAAACTAGGATATGCTGGAAATACGGAACCACAGTTTATCATCCCTTCCTGTAAGTATTTCTTTTAAGTCACAAATAAGCTGACTTAATATCTTTTTCTTGATAAAGTAAAAAAGAAAAACATAATCATTTCAACACTGTAAGATTTAGTCCTTTAGAAACATGATTTGCCAAGTTTTAAGTGTGGCCTCATTTCTGTACCTCTGAACATTTATTTCACATCTCTTTTCAGCTCTTCGTTTAATAAATCTACGAAATACCTTTTTAAAGACAAAAATGAATGAGTTGGGAATCCACTTTGAAGATATTGTTATTAATAATGTGTGTGTTACTGTTAAGTACAAAGACCATCCTTTGATTTGTGCTCATGATTTTTGCAGGGCTTGTGCTTGTTGACATCCCTAACAAAAGCCCATGCTTCAAAATAAGGATGGCATCTCATCCTTAGAGATGCAGACCTCAGCTGTTCTCTAATACTTTATAACCTTACTTAGGTTACTTTTGTTCTGTCTTATGTTTGTTAACTTCACTTTAACTGACTGTCCAATTTCAATAATTTATCTTTCAGATGTTTTTAAAAAATACTTTCTGACTTGGTTTGTTTGTGCTCTTATTTGTTAGCCTGGTCTATGTATCTGGTCCTTGATGGACATATTTTGGACATCTGACTTTTAAACAGTTCACCTTTTGCAAGTTATATAGTAACATTTCTCACCTACCTGACTTACCACCAGGTTAAGACTTTAGCATATCAGACAACAAACTTTTTGAGCCATTCCTTGGTGGTGCTAACTCATAGGTGGTTTAATTTTGGAAGTATTTGTGTGACTGAATATTTTCGTGTATTTTTACTGATTTATGAAAATGAGAAGGAAATAGATAAACATGCAGAGAATAGTGAAAGCAGCTTAGGATTCAGAGTCTGTAATTTTGAGAACAAGGTAGAAATCATTAGACTTGCCTGAACTATAGATCTCTGGACTCGACTGGGCACCCATCGGACATGAACGAGTAGTTTTGTTGTTTATGTATGGCAAGAACAAAGTTAAATGTGTGAAGATGTGTCAAAATTATCTCTAAAGGGGGAGCTATTATATATTTCTTTCATTCTCTAGAAACAGACCTGTTTGACTTTTGCACTTCTGATAAACTTTTGATATATTTCTCTAGGGATTGATTATCTGAATTAAGGCCATTACCTAAATCTAATGCTTCGATACATGGAATGGCTTTTAGGTGACACTGATGAAATAACTTATTCATAGGAATATAGTGGTATTAATTTGTAGTACTGTTGTTTTTACCCTTGATTCAAGCGTATTTGTTATCTACATGGAGGGACAGATTTGCTTTTTTTCACTTTTGTCCCAACTTTACATATCAATATATTGATAGTTTGTTTAAGATTTTGATGACAAATATTGGCTCTGTTGCTGACTAAAATAGAGTACTTTTGCAAACTAGTAATTGACGTTAGTTATGTTTGAGTTTAGTTTTATACCGTGTGTATGCTTATATTAGTTTCCCAAGGCTGCTAAGGCAAAGTACCAAAAACCAGGTGGCTTAAAACAACAGAAACTTGTAGTACTGGCAGCAAGAAGTCCGAAATCAAGGTGTCAGTGGGGCCATGATCTTGCTGACAGCTCTAGGGGAGAAATCTTCTTGGCTCTTAAAGTTTCTGGTGTTTCCTGACAATCCTTGGCATTCCTTGGCTTGTATGTGTATCACTCCAGTCACATAGCTAACCCTATGTGTCTTCACATTGTTTTTCTTCTGTACATGGATATGCCCAAATTTTGTGTTTTTATAAGAACTCCAGTCATTGAATTGTAGCCCATCCTAATTATCTCATTTTAACTTGAAAGACCCTATTTCCAAATAAGGTCACATTCTGAGGTAGTAAGTATTAGGACCTAAACATCTTTTTGGGGACACACAACTCAACCCATAAGATGCTGATTTTGCAATTTCTTAATTTGTAATCTTTTATAAGGCATTGTGTTATGATTAAAACATTTATTTCAGGAGATTAGTGATGTGTTAACTCTGATTCTTGCAAAATTTGTTTTTGCTTATATTCTTAAGTGCTGTATTAAGTCTTAGTTGGAAGCCTGTATAATTTTGATATTTTAAACCTTTGGTTCTCATCACTGTTGTATCCTTTCTCTATTTCATCTCTCTGCCAAAATTTGCAATTTTAGTTTTCATTGTCTTTCTTATGAGAGGTTGTAGCATGTTAAAAATCCGTTTGTGTATGAAAGAAAAGATTTTTGATTGTGGAGTTTTTTTTTCACCCAATTAGTTTTAATGCTGCAGGTGTAGTTTTATAATGAGCAGATATAATCATTGCCACTGATGAACACGGATATTTGATCTGGAAAACCTGTGGATATGGTTCAAAGTTATTTTCATAATCTTTGTCTTCTAGGAAGTTTGTAGTGACGCATCTGGATGTCTATGTGCATTTTGCTAGAGAAGCAGCATTTAGAAGTAGATTAGATTTAGAATTTCCTTCAGTATTTTCTACATACCTTATTAAGGATATAAATTGTTATTAACTGAAAGTGTAACTGTTTGAATGGCCCATCAGCTTATGTGCATGCATGTTTTTGTTTTTTGTTTTTTTTTTAATTTTTGGCCACTCCTCATGTAGTATCTGACCAGGGGGTGCACCCATGCAGTAGAAGAGCTGAGTCTTAACTGTAGGACCACCAGGAAAGCCTCCATGCAGATATTTTGAATGAACAGCTGTTTAATTTGAAGGATTTAGACATTTACAACTTAGTTGAGAAATTAATAAGTTTTAGGTCTAGAACTGTATGCTGGTTTTTGAAATTATATAAGGAGATTGCTGGGGGTTTTACCTTAATGATTTGAAATTTCCCTTTTTATATGTGGATTAAAGTTTAACAGGTCCTTATGCCAGTGTTAAAACTAAGCTAGTTCATAGTAGTGCAAACAGGATAGAAATATGAAAAAAGTTTAAAAAAAGTATTTCCCCATGCAATTTTCCTACTTTTATTATTGGTTTTCAATTTTTTGTTTCTGATTGTCCAGCAAGCCTGTATTGACTTGGTGGAATTACAGTTTTACTCAGATCAAAATAGAGCTTACATAGTTTTTAAAAACATAACTGAAACATTCCCAGAGCAGTATTTCTCTTTTGGGGGCTTTTTATATTTGAGACCTTGTTTCTGGGTAGAAGTTGAGATTTCATTGTGTTAAAGGAATTTTGTCATTTTTTAATTAATGAACTTTTTGCTTTAATTTAGCGGTTAAATATACTAGATCATGTTCTATGTAATAATACTTTGTTATGAAAAAATACAAGTGAAAAATTTGTCTTACTTGAAAAAAATAAGTTTTTGACATGCATAAATAACTTCTATTTTAAAGGTATCGCTATTAAGGAGTCAGCAAAAGTGGGCGATCAAGCTCAAAGGAGGGTGATGAAAGGTGTTGATGACCTAGACTTCTTCATTGGTGATGAAGCAATAGAAAAACCTACATATGCAACAAAGGTATATTTTTATGATTTGTGTAAATATAAATAACATTTTATTTCAAAAAATTAGTTCATTTAGTAATTTTGCCACTCAGTTACAGGATTAATACTCTCAGCCTCTTCACAGTAGAAATTTCTTCTTCCCTGTGACTTGTTCCAACCTTGCTTTAACTGTATTATTTTTTTTCCCCCCAAGAGGAATATTTTAGCTCTTTCAAGTAACTGGTATTTACTTTTTCAGTCTCAGAATCATCAATGTGATGGTCTTTCTCTTGCCTCCACATTATCACATCTAGAAATACTTCCCATCACCTCCACTATTTTTCTCCTGTTGAAGCCTGTGTCATATGAAAGTGCACTCTTTCTTTCTTGTTTGTTCCCTACCCATCTTCCTCCTGCTCCTTATTTATTGAGATATAATTTGCATACTGTAAAATAGGTAAGGCTTAGTTATAGTTAAAAAAAATTTTTGTGACTGTAATCATAAAAGTTCAGGATAGAGAACAAATCTAGTAACCCAGATACCTTCCTTGTGTCTTGAGTCACTATCCCCACCTGCACAAAAAGGTAGACACCATTCAAATTCACTTTGCCTGATTTGCACATTTCTTCCTTTATACCTCTGTTCTTCCCTTCTCATAATTTATTCATTAACAAAAAAACTACCATGAGACAAGTGCTCAGGCCTGGTGCACTGGGAAGACCCAGAGGAATTGGGTGGAGAGAGAGGTGGGAGGGGGGATCGGGGGGGAATACATGTAAATCCATGGCTGATTCATGTCAATGTATGACAAAAACCACTACAATATTGTAAAGTAATTAGCCTCCAACTAATAAAAATAAATGAAAAAAAAAAAAGAGAAGAGAAAAAAAAACTACCATGTATAAACAACTTTATTTAAAGTGCTGAGATTAAATAAGAAAAATGACTTTTCCTGACTTCAAGACTATTGTAATGGGGTGGAAAGAAAGGCTTTGAAGAAGTAATTTGAAGTGGTTTGTATTTATACAGATATTTGGTTATACAGATACTTGGTTCTTGGAGCTTATAAACAAGACAGAACTGGAGATAAATATTTGGAAGATATTAGGGACTTTTGGAAGGGATAAGATTCTCTAGACGTAGGCCTAGCACAGAGCTTGGTCAATGCACCATTGAGATTTGGATGGAGGAGGAAAGCCTACAAAGGATTCTGAAAAGGCATAGTTAGACTGGGTAGACAGGAAGGAGCGATAACAGTGTGGAATGCTGCTATCAAGTGATCCAGAGCCCATACATTACTTGCTGTCTTTAGCTGCAAGGATATTATTTGTAACCTTAATAAGAATAGTTTTAGAAGAGTAATGAGCCTGGATTGAAAGTATAGTTGGATTGTGAATGGTCAGCAAAGTAGGCCAGGAAAAATTAAAGGATTAATCCTGTGAGGTTTGGCTTTGATTGGGAAGGAGAAATAGATAACTTGTGGGCATAAGATGGAAGAGATGTTTAAATGCTTAAATGCTAATGTGAGAGAATCATTAGAAAAAGACATCAAAGTTACAGGAAAGACAGACTATAATACAGGTCGATGACAAAGCTAGAGGGATGGAATCCAGAGCACAGATGATCTACTTCATACATGGAGGATCTCTTAAATTATAAAAAATTGAAAAAGAAAAAAGAAGTAAGTGTGGAATCAGTTTTCCAGATTTGGTGAGGAAAGTCAGTTTGGCTTCCTGACTGTTAGCTCCTGCTTTCCTTATGAAACACATGATGACATTTTCTCTACTGCTCAGGAAATAGAGGGGGAAAGTGAAGTCTGAATGATGGGGAGAATATTTAAAATCATCAATGTTGAGAGTAAAAATGAACAGAGTGGGGAAACATCAGCTTGCCAAGTATATTTATGTCCATTTGGGAATAGTAGCTATGAATTCTTAGTTTTATCAGCCAGTTCTGTGTGATTTGTATGATCAGCATTCTGGATATAGGTTCAGTTTAGGGTAGGATCATGCCAAGTTGTGTTTTGGTAGATGGAATGATGAAAGGAAATATGAGCAGAGTAAAGAGGCTCAGAATCTGAACTGTGTGTTGTGAAGGGGAATGGGTTTTGGCTAGAGAAAAAGTATACTAGAGAGAGATGTAGTAAGGTGCTGGAGTATGCTAGAAGGATGAGAAGTTGTGATCAGAGAGGGGGTGTATTTGCATTTCAGAAATTTAGAGATGATAATGATACTAAGATCTAGACTGGCCAAAATGGAAAAGACACCTTCAGAGGTGGTGAAGTCAGTGAACTGAGAGGCCAGAGTTCCTCTGCATTGATTCTGTTCTCTTAATACACTTTCAGGTCTTCCAGATGCAACAGGCACACCCAAATGACAAAACTTCTTACATTTCTGCCTTCTTTCCTCAGCATTTTAGCTGTTGTTTTATTTTCCTCTTTGTCCTTTTAAAAGCAAATTTACTTTGGTAAGCTCTTTGTTAAATCCAGTTATATCTTGGATATAATTGTCTTGGTCTTTCTTGATTTGTCTTTCTTTTTTTTCCCCCCTTTTTATTTTTATTAGTTGGAGGCTAATTACTTTACAGTATCGTAGTGGTTTTTGCCATACATTGACATGAATCAGCCATGGATTTACATGTGTTCCCCATCCCGATCCCCCCTCCCGCCTCCCTTCCCATCCCATCCGCCTGGGTCTTCCCAGTGCACCAGCCTTGAGCACTTGTCTTGTGCATCCAACCTGGACTGGCGATCTGTTTCACCCTTGATAATATACTTGTTTCAGTGCTGTTCTCTCAGAACATCCCACCCTCGCCTTCTCCCACAGAGTCCCAAAGTCTGTTCTGTACGTCTTTCACGAGATCACTCTGCTGGCTCTCTTCCTAACATAGGCTGTTCTTGTCACTGTTCATTTTTTCCCCTGTATTGTCAGTGGTTCCTCTTCCTTTGCCTACTACTCAAATATCAGTATTTCCCAGGTACTGCCCTGACTCTCTCTTATTTAAGACCTCTTGTAGATGATCTCATCCACACCTTCCTCTGCAGGCACAGCCTAGACCTCTACCCAATTCCTTGACCTGATTTCCAGCTGCCTACTGTCACCTACCTAATCTCTGGCTTTTGAGTTTAATATATTCAAAACAAATTTTTTTATATATACTCCACCTTTGCTTATTCCAAGATAAGGCAAAATACATTTTTGGTATCTTGGTTAATAATAGATCCTTTTCATCCTGACTTCATAGTTAGAAACCTGTTGATATCTTTGTGAGTTTTTTCTCACAGTGACAGAAACCTTCAGTCTGGCCTAACATCATTTACAGCACAACTGGGGCTCTTATTCTCTTTTGTTCTTTTAAGATTCAGTTCAGCTTTCCCAAAGCTACTATAATTATCTTCTTAAAAAATCAAAGCTATTTTTGTTTACCCTGATAGAAAATTTCTACTGATGTTCTATTTCTTATAGAGTAAAACAACAATACAAAGCAAGTAATAGTTTTTGAGAACCTGGTCCCCTTCATCTAGAAGCAATCTACTTATCTACACCCCTTTCCCTAAAGGCACAGGTATTTTTCATTGATAACTGTTGTGTTTGTATATTATGCAGTGTTTGTACATAGTTTTTGCTATTCTCTATTTACATTTTCTTCTACCTCCCACTCTGAAAACAAAATTAACAAGGTTGCTCCTTTAAGACCCAGCTTAGATACGACCTTCTCAGTCATAGAGAAATAGGAGCCTTCATATTTTCCCTCTGAAGGCAAGTTGTTCGTCTTGTCCTAGGTACTTTATTTCTTTAAAAGCTAATAGTGTATTGTTTGTGTCTGTTATATTTCTTTCATTAGATTGATTCTTAAGACAGGATGTTCATGTCCTTAGCATTTATGCCAATGATTCATAGTAGGTGCACAATAATAAATGATGAATAAATGAATAAATATCATTTAGAACTTTAAAATATGTAAACTTCCAGTAATGTTGTAAAATGAATGATATAATAAGTACATTTCTTTCCTTTCCTAAAGCAAAGTGAGGAGTTCAGTTCAGTTGCTCAGTCGTGTCCGACTCTGCAACTCCATGGACTGCTGCACGCCAGGCCTCCCTGTCCATCACCAGCTCCCAGAGTTTACTCAAACTCACGTCCTTTGATTTGGTGATGCCATGCAACCATCTCGTCCTCTGTCATCCCCTTCTCCTCCCACTTTCAATCTTTCCCAGCATCAGGGTCTTTTCCAATGAGACAGTGAGGAGTAGAAGTTACTTTTTTAAGTGTAATGCTTTAAGAAGTATCTATTAGAAGGCTTTGGTGAAATGTGGTTATTAAAAATGAATAGATAAGAGGTTTAATGATGACTAAATGACAGTAGGATATTTTCTTCATTAATAAATTCAGCCTTAGGTACTAAGTGTATATTTATACTATGTGCATGGAACTGTATTTTAAAAAATGTTTTCTTTTATAAAATTTTGGAAGAGTTTTGCCTAAGCTTTTACTTTGCTTGTTTAAGGAATTCTTCATGTATTCAGAATACTAATTTTTGCTTTAGTTTTATGTGTTGTGAAACTGTTTTATTGCAGAGGTTCACAAACTTTCTTAGTGCCTTTAGTGTTTCAGTAGAAGTTTTGACAGTTTTTTGTCACTTAGAAGGATTTGTACAGTCTGTTGAGTAGCAGAGTAGCTACTTGAAAAAAAAAATGACACTTCTTTGAAAGGAAAACATTTTTGTTTAATTATTAATTAGTTACTATTAGGATGCATGTGCCTATCAGGTAGGTCATAGTTTCTCACACCTGGAATTAGATTTTGTATCAACATCCTCATTTCTTAATTTGCTTTTTTATATTTCTTATTTTATGGATTTTTGGGGGGAGAGATTTTAATTTTTATCATAGCAACTGCTGGTAATCCAGTTTTTCAAAGAAGTGATGTTACTGACTGATGTTGAAACTGTACTGTTTTAAACTAGTAGATATGTAGTGTCAGACTGATTCTGAGTATCACCAAATTTCCCTGGAAAATTGAAAGTACTTGGCGATGTCGTTTTGAATTTTCTGTAGTTCTGCCAGGTTCAGTTTTGAAACTGAGTCTATACAGATATGTATGACTTGTCTTACAAAATTTTGCTTGCTTGATTTACGATTATTCTTGCTATTTACTTACCAGCTGTTTTTTATATATTAGACACACAACAAATATTTGTGAGAGCTGATAAAGATTATGCAAGTTGTCATAACCTGTAATTTTCACAAGCTGAATTTTAATGGGGTATGTTTCTATTATAAAATTTTCAAAAATCCAGAAAGACTGGTGCAATCTTTCATGTAGATTGAATAGTTTTTAATATTTTGACATATTTGCATTATTTTTTAATAGAAACATCTGAAAATATGTAGAAATCATTTCCTTTATCTCTAGTTAAGTATGCATCTTCTAATGATCTGTGTGTCATTACACCTAAGAAATGCTTCCCTCATCTAATATTTTTGGTATTGCTATTATTAATATCAAATAATAATTAGATATTGTTTTTTATATTAATAAATATCAAAATTTTATATTGATAAAGATTTAATTCCTGTTTTGTTTTTTTGTTTTAATAGTGGCCAATCCGCCATGGTATAGTTGAAGATTGGGATTTGATGGAAAGGTTTATGGAGCAAGTGATCTTTAAATATTTAAGGGCAGAACCTGAAGATCATTATTTTCTTTTGGTAAGCACAATTTATAATTTCAGTGAAGAAATTTTTGAAGAAGCTTAATGAGAATGTTTTCATTACATCTGTACTCAATAGGCTATAATTTATTTGTCATGTATCTAAAAACATTGTGATAAATCTGGATCATTTTTAGTATCTTTAACGTAAATTTGAGGGGAAGAAGTTGGAAACATGGCACTTTTTTTTTATTAAACAGCGGGTATGATTATTTCATTTGTGATTCTTGCTAATAAAATATGTAATTTAATTTTTAAACTTTTTTAATCAAAGCAATGCATGTTTATAACTTTAAAAATTTAAGTGCTATAGATTTAACTTTAAAAAACAGCCCTTTCCTTCCTCACCTCTCCCTACTCTTAAACCCTTGATCCCCCAGAGGCACACGCTTTAGAATTTTAAAGAGTTTTTCCTGATAGTTTTCTCACGTATTTCTTCTATTTTTTTGTTTGTTATTTTAAATATTAGATACTATAACTTCCTACTAGGAAAGATGAGTATTTTGTTCTTTTCCTTTTGTCCCCCCTCCTTAACACAATATCCTTATCTTCTTCCTCTTTCTGTGATATAGTTATATCATAATTTTGGGTAAAATTAATATTTTTTATTATGGTGACTGTGTGTGTGTGTGTATGTATATATATATATATATATATATACACACACACATAAATATGTGAATATACATATACATAAAGTTCAAAGAACCTTGCATTGAGCACCTACAGTCTAGACTCAGCAATCAGTTTTACTGTAATTGTCTTAGAACATCTGTTTATTTGGTTATCTTTCTATTACTCCATCTTACTTTTTAAATCACTGCAAAGAGTTGCAGATTGAGTCATTTCACCGCTAACTACTTTAGCATACATTATCATCAACTAGGGGCTTCCCGTGTGGCTCAGCTGGTAAAGAATCCGCCTGCACTGTGAAAGAGCTGGGTTCAGTCCCTGGGTTGGGAAGATCCCCTGGAGAAGGGAAAGGCTACCCACTCCAGTATTCTGGCCTGGAGAATACCATGGACTGTACAGTCCATGGGGTTGCAAAGAGTCGGACACACGACTTACACAACTAGAGTTTATTACTGTTTACATTTTTTTCTTTTATACAAAACTTACATTCTGTAAAATCACACATCTTAACCCTGCCATTTTATTGGTTTGACCTGGCATTGGCAAACTTTGTCTAAAGGTAGACAGGAAAGATTTTTGGCTTTGTGAACCAGGTGGTGTCTGTTGCAGCTGCTTAGCTCTGCTGTTGTAGTGGGAGAGCCGCCATACGCAGTGGCTGTGCTCCAGTCAGCTTGCTTACAGAAAGAAGGGTAGCCTGGATTTGGCCTGCAGGATGCGTGATGTCTTAATCGTTGCCCTTCTCTGGTTTTGACAGATGCATATGTCTGTGTAGCCCAAACCCTTATCAGAATACAGAACATTAATTACTGTTAAGCTGCAAATTATCTCGTGCCCTTTTCCACTTAATCCTTACCCCCATCTCTTGGTGGCAACCCTTGTTCCAGTTTTTTTCCCACACATATACGTTTTCCTTATTTTTGAGTTTCATATAAATGGAATTGTATAAAATGTGCTCTTTGGTAAGACTTCTTTCACCATAATCTTGAAATTCATACATGTTGTTGCATTTGCTGGGTCATACTCTGTTTTGTACAGATATGCCTCACTGCCCATTTCCCTGTTGAAAATCACCTGGGCTGTTCCAAGTTTTTGATAGTTAGGAATATTTTGGATATTGTGAATGTTCTTATACAAGTCTTTTGTGAAAACGTTTTTATTTTTCTTGTGTAAACACCTAGATAAGGAATTGTTGTGTCATAGGATAGCTGTATGATTGATTTTATAGGAAGGTTTCAGAACTTTTCCCAAACTACTGTACCTTTTTGCACACCCACCAATAATGTGTTACTGATCTGGCTACTCTGCGTTCTATCTAACATTTCATATGTGTCAGTCTTTTTAATTTTAGCCATTCTGGTGGGTGTGAGCTTTCTCATTTGGGTTTTAATTTGCATTTTTCTGGTGACTGGTAACATTGAGTACTTTTTCATGTGCTTATTAGCTATTTGTATATTTTCCTTGTGAGATCTTCTGATTAAATTTTATTTTGTATAGGATTCTGTTTTTCTTAGAGTGAATAATTTAAGTGCCTTGGTGTTTTTAGTTTGCTTAATTTTACACATAACTATTACTAAATTATCTCTAAATTCTTGAACATAGTCCAAAGCCTTCCTAAATAAGTTTAAATACATCAAGTAGTTTAGAAGTTAAAAGGTTTTATGAATGGAAAAGATCTAATCCCAGTTAATTGAAAAAAATTTCTGTGGTGTCTTTTAAAATCTAGAACATGATTTTGTTTGCAGTGAATTTAAGTTTTATCTGTCTTTCCTTTTGCAAGTTGTGCTCATTAAATTTAAGGAATTTTTCCTTAACTCCAGGTCAAAAAGATAATTCTGTATTTCTTAAGTTTAAGTTTTGCCTTTCAAGTTTAAGTATTTGGGATAACAAAAATAATTGAATAGTCAAATCGACTCATGAGAATGTCTTATGTGGTTTCAAGCTTGGTGATATTAAACGATTTAGGTATTCCTGAGGCAAAGGTGAATCATGAAGTTCAGGATTTTGGGTGCTGTTCCTTAGGTCCTTTCTTGCCTCACTGGGATATGTTCTGACCCAGACTTACCCCATAGGTCTCTAAGTGATCTGGTGTATGCAGTCACATAACTTAAACTGAAGAGAACTGTAAACATCTCCATTTTATACTCTAGCAGTTACATGTATGTATAGATCTATTTGAATTCTCTAGTTTTTCGTTAGCCTATGTGTCTTTGTACCTCTGAGTTTAATGACTTTTATATAAATATAGTGTTTGAAAAATACATTATTTTTCACTTACAGATTGTCTATAAAGTTATCACAGTAATCTGATAATGCCTATTTAAATGTTATTCAATTTCATAGACTGAACCTCCACTGAATACTCCAGAAAACAGGGAATATACTGCTGAAATAATGTTTGAGTCCTTCAATGTTCCTGGCTTGTACATTGCTGTACAGGTAAGCAAGTTTAGATGTCAAAATAAGCATGGCTCTTAAATTTTAAGCTGATTTAATTCAACCTTAAAATATTTGTGTATTTTTCTTAATTTCAAAACATATAGTTTTCTATTGAATTGATAATTTAGAAATCATTAGAGCAATGGAACTATTTAGTGAGTAAAAGAGAAGTGTAGAAGTAAATTGATGGTTTTTGGATAAATTAATAAGGCCTTTCGTAGAACAGAAATAAGGGAACTAATATTTATTCAGAGTTCATGTCAAAAGCTTTGTTATACACATTTATTTACCCTTACAACATGCGTTGTGTCCTTCTTTGTAGTCTGTTTTGAATTAGTTACCACTACATATGTTTGACCATTGTTGCCATCGTGCCCCTCTGTATACTGTATATCATAAATCCCGTTAATGTTTTGTCAAATTTAATTTGTATGAAATTAAATCTGTATGGAACAGTGGAATAGTTTCTCTCCCCTCTTAGGAACAGAGCTTACTTCTTACTTGTTTCTTAACCCTGTAGCAAATGTGATCCCTGGCATATCACAAATGTTTAACAAGTATATAAATTATTGTGTAGTTCTGTTAGCCCATAATGATTATGGTGTTAAAGTAAGAGGATGGTCTAGTTACCTTTCTATATTCCTTTCAGCTATTATGTTGCAAGTAAATAAAATAAAGCCAGCTTAGTATTGTTTTTAATTAATTATCTTGAGGCTTGGATTTGTATGAAATTTAGTTTTTTTAATTGAACTAGTTACATTAATTTCTTAATTTGTAAATGGAAAAACTTATACTTTATTGCTTATGCCAAGATTTTTTATAGAAAAACATTATTTCATCAACTTTGTTTTCCTAATTAAATCATAGTATTTGGAAGTGTGCAGTGGTCTTTTCTCTGCTCATATAGCTCATTACATATTCCTGAATGCATGTTGCATTTAGAAAATTTGGAGCTAATCTTTTAAGAGTGTCACTTGTGTATAGACATCTATGTATTAAATAACTCATGGTTGGTGTCTCTACCTTACTTTCACCTTTGTGTTTGTTATAGGCTAGGCCATATATATACACAAAGTTTAAGTCCTGTACTGTATTATCTCATGTTATTCTCCTATATGTTAGTACTGTAGTATCTCATGTTAGTCTTCCACTTTTTTTTTGGCTATAGGAGGAAAATGGCCCTCACTAAAATACGGAAAATTTATAAATATGCCCCTAAAAGCTAATATAAGCCTTTAAGTTGTCTTAATAATATATAGGATATAAACAATTTTATTGTATAATGTAAGTTAATTCTGTGTATTTTCTTCCCAGAGATACTACGTTTACAATTGAATAAAGTTCTACAATAAAAAAAATTCTCTATTAACTGTTTATTTCATTTTCGTGCCTGCCATATTTCTTTTTGTCCAAGGCTGTTCTTGCCTTAGCTGCATCTTGGACCTCCAGACAAGTAGGAGAACGGACGTTGACCGGTACGGTAATAGACAGTGGAGACGGTGTCACTCATGTCATCCCTGTGGTAAGGATATTTTACAATTACTGAACAAGATAGCAGTTAACATCTAGCAAGGTTAAATTATATGGATTAATGCCACCTTAGAAAAAAACTTGAAATATTATATTTATTTACTATAATTTGGTCATTGCTCTGCTATAGGTGTGTTTTGCTCACATTTGAATTTTGTGAACAAATTCCATTTTTTTTTCTTTTGCTATAGGTTTGTACTATAGTTAAAAATAATTAGAAAATTATTAGAAGTTGTTTCCAATTTGTAGTTAGGAAATGATGAATTCTAGTATCTGGAATGGAAATGTGCCTTTCTTTTCTTAAACATGGGATTTAGTTTTCCAGTTTGGATGTATGTTAGCCAGTGAATGTGCTCAGTCACTCAGTCATGTCTGACTTTGCGACCCCACAGACTGTAGCCTGCCAGACTCCTCTACCCATGGGATTCTCCAGGCAAGAATACTGGAGTGGGTTGCCATTTCCTACTCCACAGCCAGTGAATAGTTTTTCTTATTCTTCTTAATTAACAGATTTCATACTTGTGTTAGCTTTCTACTAAAATGCAGTTAGTTGAAAGTACATGACCATCAATGACTTTTGGGGAATTACATTTTTGAATTAAAAAGCTCAAGTTGTGGTTGTGCTTTGCATGGACTTAATCAAGCACATTAAGAAAATTGCATCAGATTGGATTATTTGTGAGAGAAGGCATTTTTCTGCCAAAGCCTTTCTACTTCTAGTTTTTAACGACAAATTAAATATTTTCATTGTGCCCAATAGATTCAGAGTTATTACTTGAATTCATACTGATCTCTATCAGCTTGGTATATATAGAAATATTTCTCTTTTAAAACATTTTTATGTTACATTGAATATCATATAAAGAATGAAATTGTTTTGAACTTTTATTTCTTCATTATTCTTATTCCTCATTTTAATGCACTGGGCAACCTCTGTTGACGATTACATCCTCAGAGTGATTATTGGGTTAGATGTAATAATTCACCCTCCTGATATCATAATAGTTTTAGCAATACTTGCCCTTTTTAAAAAAAAAACTTTTTTGAGATATAATTCACATGCCACACAATCCATTCATTTATAGTGTACAATGCAGTGTTTTTTGTATAAAGGGCATCATTACCAGTCAATTTTAAAACATTTTTATCACTCTGAAAAGAAACCTTATATATTTTAGCATTTACTCTCCCCCCTTACCTTTAGCCCCATCTACTTTTTCTGTCTCTATAGTTTTGCTTGTTCTCACTATTTCATATAAATGGAGTCCTACACTCTTGTGATTGTCCTCTCTCACGTAGCCCAGTGTTTTCAAGGTTTATCCATGATGTAGCATGTCTAGTACTTCACTTATTATTATTGCCAAATGATATCTTATTGTATGGCTATTCTACATTTTATTGTATTGCATTGGGGGATATTTTAATATCTTGGAAATTAGGGTGTATCTAATATTTTGATAGCTTTTTTTATAATTTAGTTGGCATATTTTTCTTAGTGCTACATATTCTTTTCCTTTTTTTTTCCAGAATGGGAACAATAATAGCAACCTGTTTAATGGAACTGTTTTGAGGATTAAATAATGGATACATGTATGCTGCTTAGAGATACATAAAGATTTTTAAATTGTTCATTTAAAATTCTCATTTTAACCTCAAGATCTATGTTGTAGATTATATTATCCTTTAAGGACCTCAGTTTACTTATAAAATTCAAATGAGTTCCTTAACATCACCAAGTAGGTCATGTGGCTAGGATTTGAACTTGCTCTGCCTGACTGCAGTCTTTTCTTAATATCTACACAATTAAGCAATAATATCTTTATCCTTATAATTAATATTGGAGTAGGTAATTTGCAAAAAGAAGCTACCAACTTGGAATAGTTTTATGAAGCATATTAAGAATTGGGTATTCCTATTTTTTCCTGCATTCTTTTGAATTAATGGAGTGTTTTTTATAATTTCGTTTTATCTTTTTTACTGACTTAGCTATGCTGTGTATTTCTTTGTTATTGTCATTTGATTTTGGTGAGTTTTGCTGTATAGTTCATAGTAAACATCTTTAACTTACCATAATCTAGTAATAATACTCTACCCTTTCATAAAATAACAGTGTTTTGTAATGAAATCTAATTTTGTTACATTATTTTTGTACTTCTGAGTTGTAGAAATTTATGAATTCATTCTGCAAAATTAAATTATTTGGAATTATGGTGCATGGACTATCTCAGGCTTAAGTTGGTACCTACTTCATTAGAAAAATGATAGAAAATGTGTGTTAATGATCAAATTTCCTACAATGCACTTTAAATTTCTTGCTGAAATTATAGAAAATTTAAACAGTAAATTCCTATTTGAAGTCTGTTATGTAAAACCTTTAATGCTTCTGAAATTCACTATTTCTTTGTTGTTGAATCATTTCAGTCTTTGTTATAAACTCTTAAATCTAACTTGCTGGCCATTCTTATTCATGGTGTCTGTACAGTATTGTAAATTCTGTGGTAAGTTAGCTATGAAGAATACAGTTGAAGAATAAAGACTAGAAGCATTTTCTTGGAATGAAGCAATACTTAAGGATACAAATGCAGTAATTGAGAAATTGATCTTTAGTGATTAGTTTAGGTGATTCTTGAAAACATTGAAAATAAATTTGACACTTGTTCCCCATCTAGGCTGAAGGGTATGTGATTGGCAGCTGTATTAAGCACATTCCAATCGCAGGACGAGATATAACGTATTTTATTCAGCAATTGTTGAGAGACCGAGAAGTAGGAATTCCTCCAGAACAATCCTTGGAAACTGCTAAGGCAGTGAAGGTAAAAATTATGCTGAGAATATAATTCAGTTAGAGATGAAAGTCATGTTTATAATATTAACTGGAAAAATTCTTAAGTCAAGAACAGTAGTTTAACAAAATCTTTTGTTACCAGTTACAAACCAGTATTCTTAATTTATATTTTTTTCTCTGTATTTCTTATAGCAGATTTTGGGGTCTTAGCAACTTGTTGCTTGCTCTCACCACATTTCACATTTGAGAAGACTAACATATAAGGATATTTATACAAAGTGACTTCAATATACTTACTGTCTTTAGTAAAATAAATGTAGCATGCCTTGGATGTACTGTGGGTTCTGTTCTGGCCCACTGTGGGAAAGCAAGTATCACAAAAAAGCAAATCACACAAATTTTTTGGTTTCCCACTGCCTTTAAAAGCTATATTTACACTACAGTCTATTAAGTGGCAATAGCATTATGTCTGTAAAATGTATGTACTTTAATTTGGAATCCCATACTTTAATTAAAAAATATTTATTGCTAAAGCATGCTGTCATCTGATAATGCAGATGCCAAATATCTTCAGTTTGTAAAAAATACATTATTGGCGAAGCACAGTAAAATGGGGTATGTCTGTGATTAGTTCACTTCAGAGTCCTCACATCTCAATTTTCACTGATTTCTTTATTTCTGATTCTAACAGTTATCTGTTACAGCAAAATTTTCGGTGTCATTGATTCGTTGGGCTGTAGAATAGTTGCAGTGGTTGGTTCAAATGATATGGTAGATAGAAGAAAAATGTGAAGGCTGTGTAAGGTATTTTAATAATTTGTATGCTACACTAGGGCTTATGCAAAATACCAAAATATTTAGCATTGCTTTTTAAAATTTATCATTTGTCAACATATCTAAAAAATTTCATTTATGTCTTAAATACGTAAAAGCAAAACTTCCCAGGTAAAAATAGTTCCATTGATTTGACAGTCTTTGCATGATTATAGTGTTTTCCTTGCTTATCAGAGGTTAGGAATGAAAGTGAATTTACCACTTCCTACATAGTAAAGGAATTTGTTAATGGTTGCCAAAAGTCACCTCAGAAATTTTATTTACTGAAGCATAGTTGCTCTATAATATATATGTTGCAGGTGTACAGCGTAGTGAGTCATAGCTTTTAAAGATCATACTTCATTTAAAATACTGGCTATATTCCCTATGTTGTACAATATATCCTTGAAGTTTATTTTATACCTAATAATTTGTACCTCTTACTGTATTAATTTGTGTGGTTATGTCAGGTATTTATTTTGCAATTCTTTGTGTATTTTGTTTTCTCTTCTCTTAAATATAAAGTCCTTTGAGTATTGAAACAGTATAGAATTTTTTATAACATTAATGAGTGCTTTCATGAAGTAGCACTGAAATATTAGAAATTGACTCTTTGTTAAGTCTTATTCTATTTGTATGTGAAGCCCAGGAGATGAGCTGTTTATTTGTACTATACATATGATAACATCGTCACATAAAATTTTCTTCATCTTAATTTCTGAATTTCATTTTCTTAAGCTATTTTTTCATTTGATTTTAGTTTACTGAAAATAAATACCATTCTGTTTTGCTTTTCCTAAAACAATGGAGAAAAATTACTTTTCGTTTTCTAGGAGCGCTATAGTTATGTCTGCCCAGACTTAGTAAAAGAATTTAACAAGTATGATACAGATGGATCAAAGTGGATTAAACAGTATACTGGAATCAATGCTATCTCAAAGAAAGAGTTTTCCATTGATGTTGGATATGAGAGATTCTTGGGACCTGAAATTTTTTTTCATCCAGAGGTAACTTTTTTTTTTTTAAGATAGATTTGTTTTTTGAATTATTCTGCATAAAATACCAGTCAATAGTATCAGAGTTACTATTGATAACTATTGTACAATAGTTATCAAAGTTACAGAGTTACTTTCTTTTGAATGCTAAAGTGCTATAATGAGTAATCTTTACATCAGTGTATATTCTCATCAGCATTGTAAAGTGCTCCCATTTATATAGGTTTTTGCCAGGTCATAGTATATGTTTGGCTTTACATTTTTGCTAATCTGATGGTTATGAGATGGTATATGTAATCATTATTTTAATTTTATTTCTTTTGAAATCTCTGATTTCAGTGTCTTTGAGGCAGAGACCAGAATTTATTATTTCTAGAAGTCCTTTTATTTTTGAACTGAAATGTTTCTTAATTTTTAATTGTGATATTTAAATCAGTAGTGGTCTAATCTCTATCATGTGTCCAACTTACTTTTCAGTTTGCTAACCCAGACTTCACCCAGCCTATCTCAGAAGTTGTAGATGAAGTAATTCAGAATTGTCCTATTGATGTCAGACGTCCTCTCTACAAGGTCAGTGTTGATAGCAAAGTTGTTATTCTAAGTGACACTTTTAAAAAACGTCTTTATTTTCTCTCTGTTGGTGAATGTAGATTTAAAAACACATCTAAACTTCTCTTTATGTAAAAGTTATATTTATTTATTTTTCTCCACTAATACAGAATATTGTCCTCTCCGGAGGTTCAACCATGTTCAGGGACTTTGGACGTCGCTTGCAAAGAGATTTGAAAAGAACTGTAGATGCCAGACTGAAATTAAGTGAGGAATTGAGTGGTGGTAGATTGAAGGTGGGTTTTCTCAATTATTGGTAGAAAGGTTGAGGGTGCCTTGATGATTGTATTGGAAATGTAGGATGTCTGCTCGCTTCTTTGGAAGGTGAGAGGAGCCTGAGGTGTCTAATGGGAAGTGGTTAATTTTATAGATTAAGATCCATGATAGTCTTGGTCATTCCACTCCTCTAGGATATTACCTATATTTCTGGAAAATATGACAGCCCAATGCAGTATTGTTGCCTGGAGAATTCCATGGACAGAGGAGCCTGGTGGGCTGCTGTCATGGGGTCGCAGAGTCAGCCATGACTGCGTGATTAGCACTTTCACTTTCATAGCTATGAGAGAGATTTTTTTAATGTTTATCTCACAGATAATTTACATATAGTAGTTTGTTGCATATTCCAAGAATAATATTCTTTATGAGTCTACAAAATATTAAATACCTTTTATAGCAGGACAACAAAGCAGAGTTGAAAGAGAGAGACGGTTGTGTGATTTCACCTGTTTTCACACACTGACTGTCCTCTCCCATAGCAGCCTCATAGTGTGAAATCAGATTGTTGGTACAGCAAAATAACCTTTCAATTTCTGCCCTGTAATTTTGGGTTTCCTGTCAAAAAAAAAATCAAAATTAACTTCAAATTCTCAGATGACTGCTTTATATATTTGTAAGACAAATTTCCAGTAAATTTTGTTTCATTTTCATTATATGTGGGATATTGAAGCAAAACATTGGTTCAGAGGATATGTTACTAAGTAAAACGCATTTATGCAACTTGGAAAATTTCCAAGAATGAGGGCTTCATCCGAGACTACCAGTTACCCATAATTACTTCAAAGTGGTAAATACAACACCCTGTGGTTTACTGCTGTTTGAAGAATTGCGTGATAGCTGACTACTTTCAGCCCCTAAATTTTGATTATCTTTAAACTATCCCTTGGAGTACAGTAAAAAGTAGTTGTTTAGTTTGTAAAGACTCATTGCAGCTAAATAAAAATGTTTAAAATATTTTTAAGCTTCTTACACATTTCTAAGAACTGAGAGTTTTTTTTTTTTCTCTCAGTGTTGTCAGCACTATGCTAACATATCTAATAATACAGGAAAAATCCTACATACTCCACCTCCTCCCCTTTTATTTTACTCAGTAGTTATTTTTATGGATCTTTATAACATATTTATATATCTGTATTTAAATCTGGCTTTTTTTCCTGTCAATCGATTTTAAAGGACAGTCAAATAGCTTTTTTTTAGTAACAAAAAGCCATATCTTTTTGTGACATATAAATTAAAAAAAGTTTTATTCCAAAATAATTTCATACTTTAACATGGTTGGCAAATTCTAGTAGAATTCCTATATATTCTTCTCCTAGACTTCCAAATTTTAGCATTTTATATTTGCTTTATTTTTCTATTTTTATAAATATATGTATGTATACAAATAGACACATGTGTCTTCCTGAACTATTTGAGAGTGACTTGCAAATACAGCCTATTACCCCTAAATTTTAGTGTGTATTTCCTAAAAACAGGCCATTACAATTATCAAAATCAAAATACATATATATATTTTTTTTTTCTGGTCTAGGATTCAGTCCAGGATCATATGTTTGAATTTGGTTTCATTTCCCTCTTACCTGGAAAAAGTACTCATTTTTTTTGTCTTTTATAACTTTAATATTTTTGAAGACTCCAGGCATTTTATTTTGCAAACTGTTTCTCAGTTTGGATTTGTCTGATATTTTCCTACGAGTAGGCTCAGATAGTGTGTTTTTGGCAGTAGTGTTCGGCAGTGATGCAGTCTCCTTCTGACTGCGCTGCACCGCCAGGCGCGTGGTTTGTTTCCTGTTCGCTCGGAGCGCCTGGTTAAGGGTGTCAGGTGTCTCTGTTGCAGAGAGAGGTACTGTTTTTTCCTCTGTATTTAATAAGCATCTCACAGGGTGATACTTTCAGATGAGGCATAACTGCCTTGTTTTTCATCAAAGTCTCAGCCACTGATTTTAACATCATATTTAGTTATTGCTGTGCTAGTTGCCAAATGGTATTTTGCAAATTCCATTATTTATTCTGTGTTTCATAGTCTCATTTTACTGTAAGAAAGAGTATGTCCTTCCCCCTTATTCATTCATTAATATCCCTGAACTCCTGATTTCTCCTTTATTCTGTAGGCTGTATCATTAATACTGTTATTAAGTTTGATGCTTAAACTTTCTCATATTTGACTAGTAAGAATCCTTCAGAGGTGGCTTTTATTCCTTTTGTTGTGGCCACAGTATTCTGCAGGTACATCCTCACTTTCTGAAATAGCAAGATATTGCAGGTTCATCTTGTACTTGCTCTTCTCCGGTCTTGAAATCAGCCATTTTATTTCAAGGTACCCTTGTTCCTTTTAGTGGAGAATGCTATATACATAAAATAGACAAGCAGCAAGGATTTTACTATATAGCACAGGGAACTGTATTCAGTATCTTACAGTAACTCTAATGGAAAATAATTTGAAATCTATCTATGTATCTATATAGATATGAATTACTTTGCTGTACACCCCAAAACTAACACAATATTATAAACCAACTGTACTTCAATTAAAAGAAACCAAGATTTGGACACTAGATATATATTCAGTTGTCACTGAGGGGGTCAGTGCATCTAGGCCTTGTTAGCAGTCAGATGTAGGGGTGGGAGGGTGTGTGTATGTGTGCATGTAAATGTAGTTCTCTGTAAATCTACAGATTCATACAGATAATAGAAGTTTCAGAATACTGTAAGGTTCATTCTAGCCTTTTACCTTCCCATATTTGTAATGATCTTCTATGACGGTAAGAAACCAGCCTTATGTTCGTTTGCTCAATCCTGGAATACATATATAGTAGTTTCAGAATTATTGATCCATGCCACTGTGAGAAATAGACCAACTAATGAGAGTTCAGTGTTGGCTTAGTTTTTAGCTTAAGCCTGAGGGTGTAGTCCTAATACTGTGTTCATGGGTTACCTGGATTAGTTCTTTTCCCATACTTCAGTGTGGTTATATTTTAAAAAATTATAAAATTAGCTTAATTTGTTTCTGTTACATTGTTTTGCTCTGTGTACACCCCCACCTCCACATCTTCTTTTTATTTATTTTTGAGTATGTACAACTAAGGTTAAATACTACAGGGATTGTTATATGAGTTTACCATTGAACTGATCTTACTATATCTTTTATAGCCAAAACCTATTGATGTACAAGTCATTACACACCACATGCAACGATATGCAGTTTGGTTTGGAGGATCTATGCTGGCTTCCACAGTAAGTGAGATGAAGCTTACTTTAAAATTTGGCTTTTTTGTTTTAAAGATAAAATAATTTATCAACTTAATTTAGAGGAACAAGAGGCATTTCTTAAATTTTTATATAATATTGCACAGGGAGGTTTTAAAATTGAACACAAATAAACACAGTATTTTTGAAAAGTGGAATTCATTTGGACTTACTGGTTTTTTTGTTTTGTTTTTTTGTTCTTGCTAGACCTTTTTTGAGTGAGCACTTCTTTTAAAAATTTGTTTAATGTATTTTTTTGGCTGTGTTGAGTCTTCGTTGCTACACATGGGCTTTTTCTGGTTTCAGCAGCTGGGGGCCGCTCTTCACTGCAGTGCGCAGATTCCTCGTTGCGGCAGCTTCTTGTTGCAGAGCACAGGCTCTGGGGTGCAAGGACTTCAGTAGTTGCAGCACATGGGCCCTAGAGCACAGGTGCATGGGCTTAGTTGCCCTGTGGCATGTGGAATATTCCCAGATCAGGGATAGAACCCATGTCCCCTGCTTGGGCAGGCATATTCTTCATCATTGGATCATCAGGGAAGTCCTAGAGTGAGGATTTAAAGCTTATCTGTGGGGAGAACCTTTAACTCTGTGGTGATACAGATATCAGAAGGCCATTGTTTTTCCTGTGCAAATATTTTAAAATATTAAAGAGTTGCCACATAGGAAGTATGATGTTCTAAACTGAGTCAAGGGAATTAATATACCTCTCCCAAACCAAAACATCTTAAAGTCCCTTTAAAAGATACTTTAAATTTTAACATCCTTAGCCTAGTAAATAGTGGTGCTCTATCCTGTAGTACCTGGAGAAGGAAATGGCAACCCACTTCAATATTCTTGCTCGGCAAATCCATGGACGGAGGAGCCTGGCGGGCTACAGTCCATGATGTCACAAAGAGTTGTACATGACTGAGCGACTTCACCTTTTTAGCTTTATCCTGTAGTACACAGTAGAAAATAAAGTGTAAGAATTTTTATTTGAATTATTGAAAACTATACAACCTTGGATTTCAATAAAAGCATTTAAAAATAAGAGGTAAAAGTTATTTTCTTCCTTAATTTGAATTGTCTTCAGTTGTGCTATCTCTATCACCTAGTTGAGTGTATAACTTTCCCCTTGGAGAAATGAGGTAATAGACTATGGAATAGTCTGTCTATACCAGACCTTCAGTGAGGAAAGCAAGTTTTTGGAACATGACCTGGAATACGTCACCTGTAACTTACATGAATGCTGCTGCTTTTCTTGATTCAATGTACAGTGTGGGAAAGCCACAACAGAATAGTTTGGGCATTTGAGATTCCTCAAAATTGAAAAATTCCAGGAGAAACAGATGTTGAGGAGGGGGATTAGAGAGACTTTTGTCAAATGTTCCTTTTCAGTTTTGGTTACAGACTTGTAGCTGATTTTGAGTCACAGTTGTTAGAATTTCAAAGCTTTGTTCAACTACCATGAATGGACTGATAAACGTTTTAGATTTAACGTATCTATCTTAAAGCATGTTGAAAAGTGGTACATTTTTGACCTTTCCAAAAATCTGTTTTTATTTTCAGCCTGAGTTCTACCAAGTATGCCACACCAAAAAAGATTATGAAGAAATTGGACCTAGCATTTGTCGTCACAATCCAGTGTTTGGAGTCATGTCGTAAAATTGGCTTCATAGTTATTGGGGTTAGGGAGGTGGGGAAGAAATAGTCTTTCTGATTACCTGTTTTGTCTGGATGGCTGGTTTTAAACCTGACTTGAAATAATAAGACCAAACATTAATTATACAGGAATATTTTAATAAGTATATCAACATGCGAATGTAGAGGAGAGCCAAAATGATTAAGTGTTTTTCTTTAGATTGAATATTTGAATCTTATGTGTATCAAAAAGAAGTGGGTTTTAGTTCTTTCTGTGCCCTGGTATTTTGTATATTATTGAATTATCCAAGATTTGATGGGATTTATCAGTATGTAGATAGCTCTATAATGCTTGAATTGTACACTTTGAAGTGTGTGCAATGCAAGAGCTTGTTTATATTTCATACTTTTTATACTTTGAGGAAAAAAAGTCAAAGAAAAACTAGTATTTGAGGGTTAAAAAAAAAGTGACCAAGTAAAGGATAAATACAAAAAGTAGCCTGTGAGACTTGGCGTACACACACACTCATGGGATTCCAGTTATTATGAAGTGCTTCCACCCTCCTGTGCCCCCCAATGGTTTTCTTTGCAAGTGCTTTTGGAACTAAGAAGCTAGTGTCTTGGATTAACTGATGCCTGCTAGTGCTTTCTGATTACTCGCATTCTGTTTTCTCGCTTTAAAGGAAAAGTAAAGACAAGACTGTTGGACCAGAATTGCAGTTCTGTAGTGTCATTTCTTATTAAAAAATGAATAATTTGATTACCCAAATTGGTATATTTAAAGCCTAACACCATTCTAATAAAGGCACAAATTTCTTTTTAATACTTGTTTCAAGCTCTTTAATCTTTATAAGTTAACTAATAAATCTATTTTCTTCAAACCTCTGCAATAGTTCTTTAAAATCTCAACAGTTGGTTAGTAAGCTGACTTTTTTATGTGCTCTAAACAAATAATTGTGAACTTTTAATATGTTGAGTGCTTTCATTTTGATAACTGGATCTCCATTTGATATTTTCATTTGTATAACTCATTTGCAGTCCAAAAATTTTTTTAGTGCCAGTCCCTGACATATCATGGAAAGTTAATTTTCATTACATTTTAAAATATCTGGATCATGAAGAACAAGTGATGAAAATAAATTAAAACTGAATTACCTTTTCTAATGTTTTTTTTTTTAAGAAGCAGTGTCATTTCTACTTTGTGTTTATATATTTATGTGCTTTTTATTTCTATTGAAATAATATAATTCATTGAAATCGCTATATATATGGTAGAAAATTTCTTGTGAGCTTGAAATTTTGCCAGTTATTTATAGCAGACTAAAATGAGAGATGAAGGCTTTTAGAACTTAAGCAGTAATACCAGTGAACACTTGAACTTCATTATCCATGAAAATAACACACAGGATTAATGTTAATATATACTTCTGTCCAAAAATTAAACAATTAAAGTGTTTTTGTCTTTAACATAGATTTGAGGAGTAAACTTTAGTTTTTATTTAGAGTGAATATGGATGTTTAAAATTATATTAGTCATTTATGTGAATCTTAATTCTTTGAGTGTGGGAGTCAGGAACATACTGTATATTGTAAAGTGGTCATCCTGTCAGTATCAAAGATCTTGTTTTATTTGAAAAAGTATTTCGTGAACATTGTAAAAAAAAAAAGGTTGTTCAAGTAGTACCAAAGAGTACATAGTGAAAGATTTCTTTCCTACCCTAGCCTGTCTCGTTTTTGTCATCATTACACTCTTAGAATGTCTTTTATGTCCTTTTAATTTTCTGTGCATATAGAAATGATATAGCTCCCTTGTTTTATACAAATAGGGCTTACTATAAATATTGTTCTGCACTTTGCTTTTTCAAAGATCTTTTGATACAGAACTAAATAAGCATTAAAGATTTTATCCTCCTGGCCCAAAACAGTATTATTATTAGTATTGTCATAACTGTCTTTTCCATCTGAGGTGACTGAATAGTAAATAAATAAACTCGAGGGTCAGAAATTTTGTTTTAAGCTTAAACTTGCTTGGGGAAGCAAGAAGTCTCTAGCCTTTCCTGTATGTTTCCTGGTGTATAATATGATAGAAACAGTGCTCTTACGTCCTTTACATCTCTCCTGTCATTGTGTATCATTAATTTATTGCACCCTTGGTTGTATATGTGTAGAGGTTGGCCAAGGTGATTAAAATCTATAACACCGATATGAGAGACTGCATAAGCATGTTGCATTGGAAAAATGCCAGATTGAAGCCTGAAGCCAACTGTTGAAATTTTTATTCTAGTATTACAGATTGATAATACAACTCCTTCAACTTTTTTTGTTGTTATTGTTAAACATGAAAAAAATGTTTATATAATCAGGGACATATTGTTTGAACTACCTGGACCTTAATTCAATTAATATATAAGATAGTAGTGTTATCTGGGGGCTTCCCTGGTGGCTCCGCTGGTGAAGAATTACCTGCAGTGTGGGAGACCCTGGTTCAGTTCCTGGGTTGGGAAGGTCCCCGGAGAAGGGATAGGCTACCCACTCCAGTATTCTTGGGCTTCCCTGGTGGCTCAGGCGGTAAAGAATCCCCCTGCAATGCAGGAGATCTGAGTTCGATTCCTGAGTTGGAAAGATCTCTTGGAAGAAGGCATGGCAACCCACTCCAGTATTCTTGTCTGGAGAATCCACATGGACAGAGGAGCCTCGCAGGCTGTGGTCCATGGGGTCGCAAAGAGTTGGACACAACTGAGTGACTAAGCATAGCACACACAGTGTTACCTGGATTAACAATGCAGTTTTTATGAGTTGTGAGACTATAGCCTAGTCTTTTTGATTAATTTGTTTGTGGTAGTAAAGATGTTATTAAAGGTCTCCTTTTTGATAGGCAGGACTTTTAATCAATTGGAAATACTAATGGACAGAAATAAAATAGATGATGGCTGTCTCTAACATGATGTTTACTCTTTGGTAAGTACAGCTTACCCTTAAAATCAGTAAATGGTATATACTGCAAGTAATCATCCTGTTCTGATCGATCTTCCTTTTTGATAAGAGATAAGGCAGTTAATCTATTCAGGTCCCTTAATACACATTTTCTGGTTTGTTTTCAAAGCCACTTTAACAAATGGAAATAAATTGTTTGCAGTTTCTAGAAATACCTTCAGAAATAAAATGAACTGTGTGGATAATAGGCTGTTATGTTCTCTATTCTTTACTTAATTTCTAGAGAAGTTCTAGAGAATAAATCTATATAAATAAAAACTTTCAGATAACCCTGTAGGTGGTACTAGAGTACTTGTAACAATGTTGAGGAAATTATTTGTAATGTAAAAGCTTATTTGTGTCATTGTAAAGAGTGCAGTTATAAATACTGGACTTATCTGTCACTGGTGAAGTCCAGTGTATTTCTGGACTTCTTATCCTACTTCTGACTCTTGTGACCCCATACTCCCTGATACTTTGTAATTCATCATCAGTAAACTTGAGTACCTTGGATAGCCCTTGGCAGTCTCTTCGTTAACTGTTAGCACCAAGAATCTCAGCTTCGGTTAACGGGGATTAAATGTATTAGCTAACATACAAAACAAAATATGTGCCGACTCTAGGAGTGAAGCATTCTCTCATTCATATTGGAATCCTGTGTTTTAGAATATTTCTCATTCATATTGGAATCCTGTGTTTTAGAATATGTTTCTGTGTAATAGCGCTTAGTCTATATAGTTGGCCGGGGACAGAGTTGTTATTGAGAGTTTATAAGAAACTTTCACAGCAAATTCAGAAAATAAAAACTTTATAATTAGTTCCATATCACATCTAGGCTAACCTTAAGCAACAATGTTTAGATCTGCTTGTGAGTGTGAAAAGTTTTTAGATGTTAGTGGAAAAGGACTTCTGCTACTCACTGTTAATAACACCTCAATACTATATAAATGTTTATCTCTCTTCCACATGTTTCCCCAGCATTCCAGAGTTTTCTTTATTATCTGCTTGGTCTTGATAGAACCTTAACAAAAACAAGTTAAAATCTGGTTGTCTTTGGTATTCTCTATGCCATAACCCAGTTTAACTGATACATTTTAAACTTGGAGATGAAAGGCAATAACACCTATTTGAATTTAGAATTGCATTAACATTGTTCCAGTGTCACAGGCACAGTAAAAACAAAAAACAAAAAAAAACAGAAATGAATGATTTAGAAAAAGTGGCAATTGGGGGAAAAAACCTGAAAGAAGAAAATAAGGAAATTAAAAATTAGGAAGAAGAAAAGTGTTGTTCTTTAGTTTTGATTTAGCAAATTATTCTTGTACTGTTTTCCAGCGTTTCTTCACTTTTGGTGATTTTTATATATTACATTTTAAGCTAAGATGCTGAGTCAAAATAGTTTTAGTTTTATTCAAACGCTATAACTCATTTTTACTCTCTATATATAGTGCATCAAATCTGGGGCCTGTAATCTCACAGGCATTTCTTGACTACATACTGTGATTGAGGTACTGCATGAAGGTGAATGGAACATCTACCCTGAGGTCAGAGGCTAATGTATTAGTAAAGATGCTCTCAGAGGAGTGAGAAATATTTTTCCCAGAGTTTTGTGAAATATCATGTTAACTTAGAATTCTTTTCGTAAAGATGGTGGTGGTGGTAGTGGGTTTTAGGGAAAAAACTGAGGTGAAGTGGAAAATACACAATATAAGTGTGTTAAGTCACTTCAGTCCTGTCCGACTCTTTGTGATCCTCTGGATTGTAACCCACCAGGCTTCTCTGTCCATGGGACTCTCCAGGCAAAAATACTAGAGTGGGTTGCCATTTCTTTGTCCAGGGGATCTTCCTGGCCCAGGGATCAAACCTGTGCCTTAGTCTCTTGCATTGGCAGGCAGGTTCTTTACCAACAACCCCAGCTGGGAAGCCCAATATAAGTGTGGCTGTGGTTTAAAATTAGCTTTCCTGATGGCTCAGAAGGTAAAGAATCTACCTTCAATGCAGGAGACCCAATTTAATCCCTGGAATGGGAAGATCCCCTGGAAAAGGGAATG